GGTATTGGGTTCTACAAATATAATTTTATTTTTTTTCTCTCTAATTTTCTTACATCATATCAACCCGTTTTTATGGTGAATCTTATCCATTAAACCATCAATATGTGTATATAAACCCTAGCTTCCTCCATACATTAAAAGTGTCCGAAAATGTTTAATACTCACATTAAATTTCAATTATTTTAAATCGTGCTACGATATTGTGCCTACTTCAGCTAAGCTTATACACACACCATAAATAATAATAAGAGAAAACGACGCTTTTGGCCCCTCAATTATTTTACTTTTAGAAATTTAGTTCCTATCAATTGATTTGAACAAATCTCACCATTTAATTGTTCATAATGTAGCACATTTGGTCCCCATATTATATAATTAGAATTGTTTTTAATAATTTATTTATTCAAAATTAAAAATATTTTTATTATTATAAATAAATACATAAATTAAAAAAAAATTTAAAAAAAAAAAAAAAAAAAAAAAAAGAACCGCCACCGGCTGTCCGCACCGGACATCCGGTGGCTGTCTTCTTCACGGAGACGTCCATGGCCGACGAAGGAAGACGGCCATGGCTGTCTTCCTTAGACGGCCGTGGCCGTCCTGCTGGACCTGGGTCCATCTTGCAAGATGTACCCGGGTCTAAAAATACGTAATTTATATATATTAAATGTACACAATTTGCATACAAAATGTTTAGAATTCAAATTGTGAACATTCAGTATATAAATTGTGTATTTTGACCCTAGTCCACATTACAAGGTGGACCTGGGTCCATGGCATAACTGTTGGGGTTTGGAAAGTTCTGAGTTTTGGGCTTTTAGGTTTTTGTTAAAAACCAATTTGGGATTTTGGGTAGCCTCATTCTATGGAATTTGATAGGATTAAGGTAACAAAGATTAAATTTTTATTTGAATATAATGATGATTTGATTTTCTTAATAGCAAAATACTAGCAGATTTTATCATATATAGTACAGAAAAATCTTATGTGACACTATCTTACAGTAAGATATACAATAAGTGCATAAAAAATATTATATTAATATTAAAAGTCTCACGAGAGGCAATCTCACTGTACCGGAGACTTGTTGCATAGTGCATACAGTTCCAACCAGTATCTCTCAAGTGATCTGTGCCAATTGTCACAGTGCATTACTATACCAATTGTTTCTCTTCTTTCTTCAATGATTTTTGAGACAATATTATCAGTGTGGCAACGACTATGGGAGTGCTTGTACTGTGAACTTTGGTTGCCACAAAACAAATGTCATCTCGAGCTAATCACTTTTATATATATGTATAGATCAGAGAGAGACTTATATTGTAACTTTTCTGTTGATATGATGCCTGTAATAATCACTTTTAATGGAAGAATATATCCTTCCCATCCGTACATGTTTGATTGGCTAGGTTGCCTTTTTCGGCATCATTATATTAGAAGCCTCCATCTAAATAGGAATCTCAACTAGCACCACTCTCCTTAACCCCCCCCCCCCCCCCCCCCCCCCCCCGCAAAAAAAAAAAAAAAAAAAAATCCTAGTTGACCCAAAATTTTGTAAAAAAACTCCATCATTAAGATTGCCCTTATACACGTAACACTAGTGTTCGTAATAGAGTCAATCAATTTCTTACTTTATTGTGACGGTCAGCAAAACAAAACTATTAACTTCTTTAAATTGGTCAATCAATTAAGTTATACACGGGCCACACTTCATCTCCATATGTATTGCAAGATGTTGATTTTTTTTTTTTTAAATTTTGTCTTCTAATTAAAGACTCGTTAATATTTAGTATTCGTATTGATTAAATTTAAAATAATTTGGAGTTGGGTATGTGTATATATACATGTATGGTAAGTGTATATATACATGTATGGTAAGTGTAAGTTAATATTTAGTATTCGTATTGATTAAATTTAAAATAATTTGGAGTTGGGTATGTGTATATATACATGTATGGTAAGTGTATATATACATGTATGGTAAATGTATGTATAATCTATCATGTTTAGATCTATAGATTTTACGTGTACAATTTACACATCACGTCAACAAGTATAAACAACAAGACACATTGAAATGACACAATCAAACATCCATTTTTCCACTCAAACAAAAGGGAGGGAAGCTGAAGTGGAATCAGAATCTGAATCAATTCTCATATGATTCCACTTGCAAAACGTTGTTGGGATTTGTTTTAATTATTATCAACCTTGAGTGCCTATTGAATAGGATGTCTTATAGAGTACATTAAAAACATGTAGGGTGTTTGGTTGTGGAATATTTTATAAAACTTTCTAGAAATCTTACGTTATTGAAAAGGAAATAAAATTCTGAATAATGTGATAAAAAAGAGCTAAAAATTAAAACAAATATATATTGAGACGGTGAAGTCGCGAATAGTCTTTTTAAGATACAAATAACTGGCCTTTTGCGTTGAACCCTCCTTTGGGGGGAGGGGGGAGGAGGGGAGGGGATGGTTAAATTGACTTCTTAAGTCAATCGGATAGTGTAATTGAGTTCTCTGAGTAAAAAAAATTCATTCAAATTTCTTAAATTGCACTATCCGATTGACTTATGGAACAAATTTGACATTTAAAAAAAAAAAACTATAAATGAAAGTCATCCTCTATTAAGAAATCAAGTTAATACCCAAAATAGCCTTTTAATTATACCATAATTTTCAATTTAGTTATTGCCTATCAATTCGTCCAAAATGGTTATACGAAATTTACTTAATTTATTCCTCTATGTATATTGAAATAAAGAGTAAATTTAAATAAATTTTATGTAGTCAAATGATCATTTATTCGTTTTAGATGGACGGATAGTGAAAAACAAAATTGAAATATAAGATAATCGATGAACTGAATATTACTATTACATTAAAATTCCTGGGAACCAAACAAAGCATATAACATTTCAATACATACCCACATTACCATGGATTATGTACAAACCCTAAACTAAAACGGCAGACCTAAATTTACGCCGCTAAATTGAGAGACTAATTAAAATTTATACCACAATCACAATCGGGAGATTAATAATAATAACAATAATAATAATAATAATAATAATAATAATAATAATAATAATAATAATAATAATAATAATAATAATAATGAAAAAGATGATAGTAGCCATGTTGAAGAAAAATCCAGAGAATACTAAATGCACCATTGCTGTCATAGCATGAGAATCAGAATATATGGCATCACAATCACCTCCCCTCTCCCCAATACCTACAACCACAACTCTCCCTTCTTTTTCAATATCAATAATTAATATAAATCAATGCACTAATATTTTTCTTCGAGACACAATTTAATTAATCAATTAATTCAAAATAATTTTAATTTATAAAATTTACTTTATTAACAATCATATGGTGTAGATTTGAATCTATCAAGAATGCAACAGATATCAGTTAACACACATTTCATAATTTACCATTCTCATGGTGAGCACTTTAGGGACTAAAATTAAGGTGGAAGAAAGAATCATATATGGTGGAAAGCAATAGAGAGGCAAAAACAAGAGAAAAGTGCAGACACAAAACTTGAATAGTATTTAAAAAGAAAAGGGAGAAAAAGTGGGGGTAATATAATAAAAATACTATATGCAATTATTGATTGCAAAACTATAAAAAAGAGATTGGAATCCCAACAAACTTTAAGTGAGGCAGAAGCAGTTGTGATTTTATGAGTGGCATATCCATTTCACCCACATAGTAACAAAACCTAGTATAGGCTCCCATCAACATCCTATATAAGTTGTTTCACCTTCATGGCTTCATCTTTGCCATCTCAATCCAACAACTTGTCACCCTCTTCATCATTTGACATAAAAATACTCATAAAATTATTGTTACATGTTTTCTTCTTATTAAAATGCTTCTTAATAATTGCATTCCACCTTTTCCTAATTCAATCATTACGTATTATGGTCCCGAAAGGAACGGACGTATGTGTAAAACATGATTATTGTATATAAAGATCTGTCTTAGTATCATTTACCTTTCTTTTATGTGATTTATGAAATACAAATGTTTTCCTTGTCAGTTGTCACACAAAAAATCATTAGATGCAAGATGAAGTAAAAGAGAAAGAAGTATGCATTGACAATTCAATTAATACTCGATTGACAGATTGCACTATTGCACCCTAGGACATATGACTAAATCATGATAGTTGCAGTGTGAAAGCAATACCCAATGTGGTGAATACCAATTATTTGTCCTCTTACCTAAGAGATGCTAAGACATCATGATTTATTCCATCACTATCCAATCGTCCCGAAGTATGAGAATCTTGGGGCGAGGGCACCGCCTTTTGTACCTTAAGTAAAAAAGAAAAAACATATAGGCCCTGTTTGGTAAAATGACTGTTAGCTGATAGCTGTTTGCTGTTAGCTGATTGTGTTAATTAGAGAGTATAAATAGTTTATAACATTAGCTGATTGTAGAAAAGTGTTTGGTAAATTAGCTGTTAGCTGATAGCTGTTTGGTATAATTTTTTTTCTCAAAAAGCTAATTGAAAAAGTTGCTAGGAGTAGCTTTTTAAATTTAGCATTTTGGAGTTGCAAAAAGCTAATTAACCAAACATTTATATTGATATTTTAACTAAATCAAACAATTAATAGTGGTCAAATAAGCCAAAATTGGCCTATAGACCAATTTTTTTACCACTCCTCATGCATAAATATTAAAATGTTGGCCGTTATTTCAATTCATAAAAAATAGTAAGTACATCTATACATGTAACGTTATAACATAAAATTATCAGATCATAATGTTTCGTTTTTCATAAATAATATATCAAAATGCGTACCAAATTATATATATAATAAAATTAAATTAAAAAGTTACATGTACTCATAGTTGCATTCAATGGTGACATAACAAGATAACAAATCAAAAAAATTAAAAGGTAACACATACCAATTTTGTTGATGCAATTTGCATAGAAAACAGACTATGTATACATGCACATACAGAACAGCATCATACGCACAATACGTAACATTCTCTCTCTGAACAAAAGAAAGGGTAGTAGAGAAATAGGGCGGAGCAGCTGTTTGTTGCGGAGTATTTCCAAAACCACTACCAGAATCCACCAATTCCTGTGATCAAATTTGTTACAAAACCCTAAAGTTTCTGTCTTTGCATTCTGCTTGGTCTTTATAGTAAACACTCACTTCTCATCACCCCTTATTTTCTTTCATTTCTGGCAATTTTTTTTTTCTTCTTCCCTTAATTGGATTGTATTTATAGCCTTTATTCATATTCCCTTATGTGAGAGGATCAGCGTATTGCATTTCGGATATTGCCTAAATCTGAAGAGGCCTTAGCCAATTGTGTTTGATAATTATATGGTTGGTATATAAAGGCTGAGTCTTTGGAGGAATTGAGCTGAGGGTCTGTGTTTTGATTCATCCATTTTTGCCGTTTTTTAAAAAATAAATTTTGAGTCTTTTTTGTTTTCTGAGCTTTTGATTCAATGGCTGCCGGCGCTGAGGTGTGTGTTGAGACAGCAATGGTTGAGGCTCCTGCTGTTGTTGAGAATTCTTCTCCGGCACCAAATTCCGGCAAAATTTCTGATGCTGGCTCTGAGCTTAGCGTCAATAATGCGAAATCTGAGTCGCCGGCGGATGGCCAGAAGGACTCCGGTTCTAATTCGAGCCCGGAATCGGAGTTTCAAATGCGGGATATCGTTAATATGTTGAAGACATTGAAGCTCAACCCACTGGCAAAAGAGTTCTTTCCTTCTTCCTATGGCCGTGATGAGGGGCTCAACAATTTTGTGGCAGCTAATAAGGCTTTGGGGGCTGATGGTTTCCGAAATAACAGAAGGGTAAAGTTCCATTTCTTGGGTTTGATCCATGTCTTATGTTGTTGGTTGTTGGAATTGAATAACGTTGTTTTCTTTGCTTTGTTTCATTTTCATGTTCTATGCAGTTTTATCTCTTTTGTCTTTAGGGTTATATCTGATTAGATTCCCAAGTTTTATGTCTTATAGTTAATGCACTATCATTTGCACTGACCTTTGTGTTTGTGTATTTGTGTGGAAGTTATGTTTTTGTGTGTCTAATTGTCTATGTAAGTAATATTTATTATATGATTGTTTTGATTGAGAGTTGTGGCCTCAATTGCATTGGGACTAAGATCGATTTGAGTTCAATTATAGTTATTGCAGCAAATAGGAATGAAATTCTGTTATCATGGTTTAAAAACATCATCATTCTTTCCAAATGAGAGGTTGTGTTTGGTTATTCCATTTAGGGGAATTCATTTCGATTGGTTTATCAGCTACGTATATATGTTAATGGTACATTTGGTTTACTGAAACGGAATAATGGATATCTGGATTTCGGTTTCCTTACATTCCGATATTACTTTGGTGTCTTTATAGCAGATAGTGAGATAGGTGACTGGGAATTTGTTGTTTAAGTGTGTTTTTTGCAGGTTTATAGGATTTCGCTTATTATTGTTTGTTGTTTTCTAGTCTGACGAGAATAGTTAATTGTGGTTGACCATATGGTTTAATTGGTTTTATGTAATTCTTATTGGTATAATGTCATTGTTGTAGTAAATCGCTTTAATTTATTTTGATCTCAGAGAGGAAACAACTATAATCAGGGCCGAAGCAACCGAATGAACAATAGAGCTTCTAGAGCTCAAAGAGAAGATAGCATAAGGCGAACTGTCTATGTTTCTGACATTGATCACAATGTAAGTATGTTTTAGGCCTTCCAAGTAGTTTTATGTGACTATCTAATTTCCGCTAATGCTTATTTATTTATTTATTATATTTTTAATTCAGGTTACGGAAGAGCAGCTTGCTGCCTTATTTAGTGCGTATGGACAAGTAAGTAAAAAAATTTCCTAAAATTATTGTCGAATGGTAAAATATATTCCTACCAAAGCCATTTTCTTTAATGTTTCTTTCTAATCGAGGTAACGAGGTAACTTATAAAACGAGGAATCTTTATACTTGTTTTCGACTGTCTTTTTTCTTTTTGCAGGTCGTTGACTGCAGAGTTTGTGGCGATCCTCACTCCCATCTTCGCTTTGCTTTTGTGGAGTTTGCCGATGAATGTAAGTTGCACGTTTTGTCGTGGATTTGTTCTATGTAGCCGTAATTCGTTTGCGATATTGTAACCTGACTTGTCGTGGGAATGAATTTCATCAGACTCTGCTAGAGCGGCTCTTTGCCTTTCTGGTACGATATTAGGTTTTTCTCCGCTCAAGGTCCTGCCTTCGAAAACTGCTATCCTTCCCGTGAATCCTACATTCCTTCCCAGGGTACGAAATAAAGAAAATTGTTCGTTTCCTATCCTTCGATTGTATCTTTTGCTATTTTCTTGCTCAGAAATTATTGCGTTTACATTTTCTTTAATTTTGGTGTTCTTTTATTTACAGTCAGAGGATGAACGTGAGATGTGTGCTAGGACCGTTTACTGTACAAATATAGATAAGAAGGTATGGAATCTATAAAGTTTCTGTTGGTCCGAAGGATATTCTGGGGTTATCATGTTCGCTAGCTTGGCAAAATCACCCTATATGTATAGTTTTTGAATCGTAAAATTTATAAATTCAATGCACTCTATTCTGACCAGGTATCTCAGGCTGATGTCAAGACTTTTTTCGAAACGAGATGTGGTGAGGTCGGTATAGTTTTCGAAGTTTTCTACACATGAATCGTGAGGTTAACTATAATACCATATAGAATACCGCGACTAAACATTTGTTTTTTCCAGGTTTCTCGCCTGAGGCTTTTGGGAGATCAAGTGCACTCCACCCGTATTGCTTTTGTTGAATTTGTCATGGTATGCTTCCGGCTGTGTGTGTTTGGATTCCTCGTATCTATATTATTCTCGACGTTTATCTGCATCCGTGTCCCCTGTATTCTCCTTAATATGCTAGAAGAATATATTCGAAATGACAAAATGGATCCCTGAATTACTCGACAAAATGTGCAGGCTGAGAGTGCGATTCTGGCATTGGATTGTTGCGGGGAAGTGTTGGGGTCCCAGCGTATCAGGTAATGTCGTTTTAAATTCAAATTCTGGCATTTGCATACCTCGAACCTTCATTTGATCCCGAGGCTTTTAACTTTTGTGTTTTATTGCTCAGCTCGTATTAGAAATCGCTACTAAAAACTGTGTTCTAATATTGTTGTAGGGTGAGCCCTTCAAAGACACCCGTGAGGCCACGAGTTGCTCGAGCTGGTATGCATTAGCCAGCCAGTCATTCCATGGTGGCCCGAGGGTCGGTCTAGAAGGCGGCATTTCGCGCAATACCCTTTGGTAGAGAGACAGACAGACAGGTTTTAGTTTATGCATGGAGAAGATGGTTTCAGTAATTTCAATTCCATCTTGTTTCTGCCAAACATTTTAATCTCTTTTTCCAGACACAACTCCCAACCTTTGTTTTAGCTCTCAAGTTTACAGTTATTGCTGTGCTGTGCTGTTAGTTAAAATGTCTTGGCAACCAGCAATGCTTTGATGTTTTGCAACTTTGCCTGCCTTCTTCATTTTTTGATTTTATACTTTTCACCAGATAAACACTATGAGGCTCATGCAAATTTGATTGAGAATAACTGACTTTAACGTGTGAACCTGTAAAGTTTTAAAGGATTGCACCGCACTTACTATATGATTGCACTGCACCCGGATTAGTGTGGTGTAATCCTTTAGAAGCTCGCAAGTTTGCAGATTAAGGTTGGTTCAGTGTTGCAAAAATCGCGCATCGACGTCGATCTCCTAGGCGCTAGGCGGTTGGCCTCCTAGGCGCTCTAGGTGCCCGCCTAGGCGTTCTAGGCGCCCTAGGGGCAAAAATCGCGCCTCGACGTCGATCTCCTAGGCGCTAGGCGGTTGGCCTCCTAGGCGCTCTAGGTGCCCGCCTAGGCGTTCTAGGCGCCCTAGGGGACCTAGGCGGTCCCCAGACGCCTAGAGGGCGCCTAGTGGTTTTTCCAACATTTGTCCCCTAGGACGCCTAGAATAGGTCCCCAGACGCCTAGAGCTAGCGATTTTTCCAATATTTGTTGGTTGTCACTTGATTATGATATATAGATCCTTCTAAAACCTAAAATGTGTAGGAGAGGACTTCATGGCCTTAGGGTTGAACATTCAATGAATGAAAAAGAAAACAAAATCAACTTTTAGGGGCATTGACCGGATGTTGGCTCTGGTTGACCGGGTTTTGATAATTTTTGTGTCCCCTACCCAAAGAAAAAGGTTGAAAAGTATAAAGTTGGCTAACAAAAGTTAATAATTTAAGAAAATATGTATATGTATTATGGTAAATCAACCGAGGATATATTATGCGTGATTAATTATATTGGGTATAAAAGATGTTGATACCAATTAATATGATAAAAATTCTTTATAAATTAAAAGTATATAATTTAAAACTTTCACGAGTCCATGAAAATAAAGTATATTTTCTATTTTTAATCAGTGCCATGTTACATAGTATTAGTGAATATTAAGGAGGGATTTATCCAAAAAGTGGCAAAACACAAAGGACATTAAGTTAGTTGACAAGTTGCCTAATAAGAATTAGGTACAAGATGCCCAAAGGCCAAAATTGGGTGCTTTTGTACGAGTCTTAAGTAGTATCTTATCACAATTGATAGGGTAATGTGTACATAAATCAAAACCACATATTTTTTTGGTCGTAATTCAAATGTTCTGGAGAAATGCATGCATTGATACTTCTTGCAGTCAACATAAGTAGGTATTTATATGAAACTAATCAAAAAATTATTATTATTTTTCCTTAAACACAAATGTTATATATAGTTTTGTCGTTTGGCTTCGTCCGGTGATGATAAAAACTTGTCTTGACTGTAAGTCTGTAACCTCGGTGAGTGTGTGAACATTTAAACATAAGCTCAACTGAATAGTGGTAATATGAACACAATGTTTTCACTTTACATACTATAATTATCATATTTCTAATGAATGTATATAAGTATATTATTAATGTCCAAGCACCTTGAAATGTGTTGAATCAAGAACAGACAATAAGCGCCTTTATTATGGCCGCTTTATTCTGCCTCCACTTATGAAAGGTCAAGCTGACACAATAGGCGTTGCGATGCGAAGAGCTTTGCTTGGGGAAATAGAAGGAACATGTATCACACCATACCATAGCGGGTATTCAAGAATCGGTACATGAGATTTTAAAGATGACATGTAGTGACCTCTCTCATGTGGGAGATTATGAGATGAGTCTCAGTGAAGGCAGATACTACAATGTAATAGAGTCAGTAGCATTAAAAAAAAAGTATATTACTAATGAAATCGATGGGATGTTACCGTCCACAATATTCAAACAAGCTAAGTAGGGGAGGAAGATCAATAAATATTTTATCAATTAAGGAGGGAAAGATCCATAAGTATTTAATCGATCAGTAAGAACAAGATTACTTGCAAGGGGTCGGGTGAACATGTAATGAATATAATTATATAGCTAACAAAGATGATGTGTGTGAACATACTATACCTAATTACTAATACTATAACATATTAACATGTACATATACAAGCTAAGTAATGAATATAGCATGCATAAGTGTAAGTACTAAATAATGAACTCAATTAGTATATTGCATCTAATTATAGCATATTGGAAAACTAAGCAAAATTTGAATACTAAATAGACAAAGTTTTTTTTGGTTATGCATTGCTCTCAAAAAGTTGAATCCCCAATCTCAAGGGTCCCCTACGTTCCGACTCGACGGAGCATCTGGTAGGTAATATGCGTAGAATTGTCAAAACAGGTCCAATTCATTTAGTTCAGTTAGTTTTTGACGAGCTAGATTGAAATTTGTCTGATTTTTCCCGTGTAACTATTGTGTTGTGCTACTGTGTTAGTGACTTTTTTTTTTTTTTTTTTTTTTTTTTTTTAATGACGTGAGAAACCTGCAGTCACTATATGAAGGTGTTAGGTGTGAATACCGAATAAACCTGGATCACGATTCACTATTAAAGAACCTTCCAAAATACAATACAATCAACGTACTATCATCACCAAATTAATAATGCCAATAAATGAGATAAACAAATCAAGACTAAGGGAGTTTGAACTTTCTTCCTATATCCTCGTGGGGAGACTCCATTCCCATTGCTTTGACGGTTTGACTCAAAACCTGCAACTAAACTGTTATAAGTCCTCTTAGACAGCCTGCAAATTATTTGATTGATCTGATCTGATGACAATTTAACGGTCAACTAAACCTTGACGTGGCCCTCCAAAATCATGGTTTGACTCAAACCTTCAACCTCCATTCCTCATTTGATTACAATGGTCAACCCTTCCCATCCACCTATATATACATACATGATTCTTATACCTTCGTCTTCCATATCTGCACTTCCAACACTTCAGAAACAGACCAAAAAGCCAAAACCCAGTTTTTTTCTGTCATTTTCTTTGAAAAAAAAGTTCCATTTTATTTCTTGGCGGCGGCATAAATGGCTGAAGAGAGCAATAATGGGTTTGCAGTGAAGGTGGTGATAATCAACACAGAGTACATAGAAACGGATGCCCGCAGCTTTAAAGCCGTGGTTCAGAGGCTAACCGGTAAGGATCCTAAGGTGGAGGCGGCGGCGGCGGAGGAGGCCGGGTTTAACGGCCATCGGAAGCTTCATTCCGGTGGAGGAATATTATTGTCGCCGGCGGCCAAGACTAGCGGCCAGCAGCTTCATTTGCCAACCGCTCATTTACCCTTCAATGATTTTGATTGCGATAGGTTACTGTTCAACAAGGAACTGTCACCGTTCGATGAGCTGTCGTATGCGCTATACGCCCAATCATAAACTAAAATGAAGAATAATGTTATACTTTACTTTTGACTAGTGATGTAAGAGAAGATGAGAAGTTCACTCGATCGGTCCAAAAATAGGTTTCTGATTTTCTTCTTCCTTGATGATGAGAAGATAAAAAGATGTATGTTGCGAGAGTAATGCATTACAAGCATATTAATTAGTCATGTTAAAGAGTTTTGAATTAAATTTTTATGATCAAACATGCATGATGGAAGTGATCTGGGCTGAATTTGAATTAGTTTTGTAATAGTAATTATCAAAGGATGTATAAAAAGAGTGACGGTGAACTTTAATTTTAAGATTTCATATCAAATTTTGTTTGTTGATAAGTGTTCTATTTGCCTTATTTTTATCCAGAAGCCTGTTTACTTCTTTTTTGAAAGCAGAAGCCTGTTTACTTCATTTCTCCTTTTTTAATTTTTTTCTCATTTTTTTTAATTTCCCATATTCATTTTTAAACAACTTTCAAGAAATATAAACTCAATCTCCCATTGTCAAAGAGAAAATCGGGGGTGATGTTCAATAGAGTCAGGAACGATGACTAGAGAATACAACTATGAATGGTAGCTAGATAAAAAAGTGAACGATGACAAGAGTGAAAGTCGTGGATGGTGGCTAAAGGAAAGGCTGGGGATGGTGGTTGAAGAAAATCCAATAATAGCTAAAGAAAAATTCATAGACGGCGACGGGAGAAAAGGTGTGGAATGGGGGGCTAGTGAAAAAATTGAGGATGGCGGAATGAGAGAAAGTTAGGAACATCGGTGATAGAGAATGTTGTGGATGACGATTGAAGAAAAACTGAAGATGGCAGTGAGAGAGAAAGCAAAATAGGGTGGTTAGAGAAAAAACAAAGAGAAAGTCAATGATAGTGGCGGTAGAGAAAGCTAATTATGGTAGCATCAGAGCAAACGGTGACAAGAGAAAAAGTCAATGATGGTGGCTAGAGAGAAAGACGAGAATGGTGGTCAGAAAGAAAATTGGGGACAGTGGCCAAATAGAAAATCAAAGATAGTGACCAAATAGAAAGGTAGACGCAGAGACCGAAGAAGAGAAATTATAAGAAAAAAGAATTTAGAAACATTATTGCCAATGTTTGGAAGTTATCCATTTTTTCATGTCTTCAAATTTGGAAAACATGTGTTATAGAATAGTTCTCCATTTTTCATGGTGAAGGAATTGACAAGTAGATAAATTCTCCTCTTTGAAAAAGGTTTCAAGATAAATAGCGATGCAATCATCTTCAATGTATCATCAAAGAGACAAAACCTAAGCTTTGTGAAAGGGGAATAAAATACTCTTAAATTCACACACTAATCAACATTTCAATTGATGTGTCAATTGATACAACTCAAATTTTATTACATTAAATCATTAATTTCGTATAAATTCTTTTTAGTAGTAATTACTAAAATTGTTTTGACCTCGATCAATTAGACCTTATTTCAATTTAGGAGAATAAAGTTATAAAATTATTAAAGGATGAATAATGAAAACTTGTAAAAAGAAAAAAATCGAAAATAATATTATAAAGACAATAAATGACAAAAACTCTTAACAATATATCAATGCTTTAAGTGCCGGGCAATCCACGACACGCATCTTAGGAGGCGCGTACTCCTCCCTCCATTTTCAAACTCCGTCATCTTCTTCTTCTTCTCGATTCTTTCCGGCTCAATCACTCTTCCCTTTACCCCTCCTCTCTGCTTTGCTTTTTCTCCCTCCGATTCAAAACACAAGCCGAAAGGTGCAGAAATAGAACCGACCCAAACAAATATGGAGCCTATATTTTAAAATTGTTTTATTTTATTGTGGATTACGTAGTTTATTGGTATCTACACACGAATGCAGACACAAATACAGCGGAGAGATAAGGCAGTTCTGATCTTGTTCCCTCTCGATCTTTCCCCTCCTCTCTGAACTTCCATAAAGTTTCGATTTTTTTTGGCTCTTCCAGGTCCGGGTTTCTTTCCTCCATTATTTTTGTTTTCTTTATCTTATCTTCTCCCCTTTGTGTAGCGTTTGTTGGGATTGATTTTCCGGGGTTTTGTGTTGGTGGGCGGATGTAAATTTCAGGTCTTGTGGGTGTATGGCGATGAAATTGCGATGAGATTTCGGAATTAGGGCTTTAAGGGAGTGCTTCCTTTTTTATGGGATTTTGAAGGTGGTGAATTTTGGTGGAAAAAAAGGAGAGAGTTTTGGATGGGAAATAAGTTGGGTAGGAGGAGGCAAGTGGTGGACGAGAAGTTCACTAGGCCTCAGGGATTGTATCAGCACAAGGATGTGGATCACAAGAAGCTTAGGAAACTCATTCTTGACTCCAAGCTTGCTCCTTGCTACCCTGGAGAAGATGAATGTGTTAGCAACTCTGAGCTTGAGGAGTGCCCCATTTGCTTCTTGGTGTGTGCTCACTTTACCTTCCAGCAATTTTTTTGTTCGGCTTTAATTGCGTTTCGATGAAGTTAGGTGCCTGTATGAATGTATGATGATATTTTTGTTATTTGGAATGCTCATGTGCTTAGCTTCCTTTAGCTAAGTTGCTCCATAAAAATCATGGCTGGAAACCATTCTTGATAGTGTTTGATTGAGTGGTAAAGGTTGTGCTACATTGTGTTTATCCACAGCTAGAATTTGAAACTTGGGAAATCCATCTTATTTCACATTTGGTTTAACTAGTAAGAATATGGTTACATCACACTCAAAGTGTGATGTAAAATCTCACTTGGGACAATGGAACTACTTTTGATGAAGAAAGATGAACAAATTAAAAACATTCCAGCAGGCAATATATGATGTTAGTATGTTCTTGTTTAGAAAAGAAGACCAAAAGCTATACAATGTTGATGCTGTAATTGTGTACTTGTTTTTTAACGAGTTTCGCATGGTATAGCAAATTTTGCTCCATTGGATAGTTGCCTAGTTGGTGAATGTCTTCTCACCATCTTGTTCTTGCTTGGATGTTCATGAGTTTTTAACACAGTTCGGGTGTGGTGGGGTGTATTTTCTTTGTAAGCCATGTATAACATAAACCTCATCTTAATGAGTTCAAATGGTTTCTGACTGTCTGCTTAATCTTATCTTTTTGTTCTATATTTAATGCCTCTCCGTTCACCTCGGGCTTTTCAGTATTATCCAAGTCTCAATCGTTCAAGATGTTGCATGAAAGGAATTTGTACAGGTACTATTACAGTATTATGCACATTCCTATTCTTATCTGATGCCATTCTCGATGTATAAAGCTCTTCGTTATTTTCTTCAATACATGGATTTCTTAACTGGTTTTACTTTCTACAGAGTGCTTTTTGCAGATGAAGACCCCTAATTCAACCCTGCCAACACAGTATCCTCAATTTCTTTCCACATTTCTTACTGTTTTGACTTTATGTCCATTTCCAAATAACAATTCTTGCAAATCTTCCTTAAACCGTATAAGATGCCCTTTCTGTAAAACTTTAAATTATGCTGTGGAGTATCGTGGAGTAAAAACGAAGGAAGAAAAAGGAATCGAGCAGATTGTATGGTTCTTTCACATTTCTTGATTGAATACCTATGGTGATTCTTGAGGGCCTCGTACTGAACTTTTAATGTTAAATTATCTGACCCTCTATGTTTCACTGCTCCAGGAGGAACAGCTAGTCATTGAAGCCAAAATACGGATGAGAAAACAGGAACTTCAAGAAGAAGAGGAGAGGATGCTCAGGCAGAAAGAGGTGTGCTCTTCAAGCAGTATCACCGGACCAAGTGAGATGGAGCATTGCTCAACAACAGGTGCTGAATTGTCTCCCGGGGTTATCATGTTTGGCTTGAATTTCTCTGATTATGAGCCGTAGTTTAAACTATTGTATTGCTTGCAGCAGCACCTTTAGCTACCGCTATTGAAGGTTCAGAAGTTGTTACTTCCCAGGAGACTTGTTCTGCTCCAGCTACTCGACAAGCTTTATGGTCTAGACAGATCAGGTATGGAATTGTCTCGTGCTTCTTTAGCGTTGTATGCTTCAGTTGTTATCCACTAGGTTCTGGTTCAAGTAAATAGTTTGTAAACAACTTGATTTATTTTTTTACTTATAAATATAAAATGCAATTCAACGACTTTTCCTTGCACTCATGTACACAAGTCAGTCATTGCACTCCTTCAATCTCATCTTAGATGACCGTATTTCCTTTCTAGGTTGCCCTAAAGTCTTGGTAACTCTCGTCATTTACAATCTTTGGTAGTAAACCATTAATATACCTATGGGGGCACATTTGTACCTCAAGAAAACTTCACGGGAAAAAGGACCAACTTTAAAACCAAGCCACTGACATTAAGGAGTTGATCATTTTGCATTAGAAGTTGCAGAAGTCAAGGGCACGTTTCTTGGTTTTGTTGTGAAATAACTTTCATGAAAAGACGATTTGGACTTTGGAGGAAACTATTGATACTTTATGTTATCGGCACTGGTATTGCCATTCAAGAAGTTGAATGCAGAAAAAAGGAGATGTCATTGACATGATTCATGAGAAGAGACTCGAGAGTAGAGGGTATAGTTACTGTGTCCTTAAATCAGGAGTATCCTCGTCGTCCAATTCATTCCACTTGCTTCTGTGACCCAGAAATGAATCTTTCTTATTCTGCGATTCAGATGTTATTGTCTGAATGTATAAGCATTCTTTGTTATTCTGATTCGTGATTTTTGAACAGGGATGATGAATTTGACTTGGATCTCGAGGACATAATGATTATGGAAGCTATATGGCTATCTATTCAGGTACATGAACCAGCAAATGACATATATATTAGTCTCATTGGTAATTTGGGAATATTTCACTATAATTTAGAATTTGTAGTGCCTCTTGTTTTATCCTGTTATGGTGAATCATTATTGCTTACTCGGCCTTTGATGTATAATGACAGGAGAATGGCAAGCCTCAAACTCCAGGCTATCGTGTTTTGGCTCCACCAGAACAATATGTAAGTCACGATAACCATGCATCCTCCATGGCCTCAGCGGGAGGATCTTCATCTTCCCCTTCTGGAGGTCTTGCTTGCGCGATTGCAGCCCTTGCTGAGCGCCAGCAGATGGGCAAAGAGTCGTCCAGTAGTTATAGCGGAGGCGTATCATCTTCATACAATCACCATTCTGCCTGCAGCAGATCTCCGGATAGGGCGGTGCAAGAAGAGAACGAAGATTACCCTCAGAGCGAGATGCCAATGGATGGGGAAGACAGGGAATGGGCTGACAATGGTTCATCGAGGGGTGAAGCGGGAACTGGCTATGCTGCCTCGGATGATGTGGGCCAGGATCCCCCTCGAGGTGAAACTGAGAGAGACGGCTTTCAGCCCGTCTCGGGGCCCATCGTTCCAGAAAGTTTTGAAGAACAGATGATGCTAGCCATGGCTGTCTCACTTGCAGACTCACAAGCAAGGACAAATGCACCAGAAGCATGGCACTAGCACTTAATATAAGCTACTTAGGATTCAACCATGTTACTGTTTTTATTTTATTTTTATTTTTATTTTTTTCTCCCTTTCCCTGCTCTGCTACCCTTATTCTGATGTAGAAGAAATGGAATCCTCTTTTTATTTCCTTTTGTAATTCCCATTACAGCTTGTAAAACATGGATAGAAAAGAAAAAATGATTCTAGTAAATGATTATACTGTTTTGTTCCATTATGCAAAGAGAATAAACAGCTGAAGAAGAAGAAGGCTTTCATTCTTGAACAAATACAGAACACAAATCTCAGGGTTTAAAAACTGTAGGATTACAAGAGAATAATGTTGAAAATGTTACAATATTACCCACATGCCAATGTATTATCAAATAGAAAGACACAATGAAACAAAATAGAGACAATGGCTTGTAAGCCATGCAATTTTCAGGCCAAAGCTACCTAAAAACTGCCATCTTTTCTAGTTTTTCCAAACAAGTTAATACCATCCGGGGTCCTTCAAGTATAGTGGTTTTGCCACATTTAGTCCTAAACTTTCAAATTGACCGTATGTGGTCCTTCGACTTTCAAATTTAACCATTAGTGGTCCAAGTTAACCCCCCATAGTCCTTCAACTATTAAATTTTAACCAACCATGGTCCTTTCAAGAGGATCACGACTGGTTAAATTTTGAAACTTGAAGGACCATGGGTGGTTAACTTGGACCACGAATGGTTAAATTTGAAAGTCGAAGGACCACAAACAGTCAATTTGAAAGTTTGGGACTAAACGTAGCAAAATCACTATACTCGGAGGACCTCAAACGGTATTAACTCTTTTCCAAACCTCTGATCTTCCCAGCTAAGAAAAGCACATTTGGAGTTATTCAGGGCTCCATAGAGTTGCAGACTACTACAGAGACCATGGGAGTCTCTGTAGCTAGTGGTGAAGCCCAGCAATGGTGATTGGTGAAAGTTACGAGAGTTTGTACCCACTAAACTGGTTTTCTACTTGCAGAGTTGCAGTCCATGGCATGCAGCTATAGAGTATCGTGAACATGGTTATGGAGTATTATTTAGCACCATGCGAATAGATTGTAGAAGAATGTCTCTGCAAACTAGGCCGCGGCTTCAGGTCAGGAATACAAGAGGGTTAGAGAGGTTGTCATGCCGTTTTCTATACCCAAAACCTTCGTTTATCAAAGAATATTACGACCAGAGCAACAATCAGAACAAGATCAACAGCTCCAGGAAATATAGTAATTCGGAACCTGCTCCTAGGAATAAAATGCTTCCTGAACCCAATCGTATGCATAAGGCTGGTCTGCAATTAAAGTGAAAAAAGGAAAAACACAACCAAATTTAGCATAGCTTGAAACTAACACAGTCTATACACTCGATCCACAACACACTTAAGGTATCCAGAGCTCGATGCCAACAGCATGGATATATGGCCCTATTTGGTAAATGACTGTTAGCTGATAACTATTAGCTGTTAGCTGATTGAGTTAATTAGAGGGTATAACTAGTTGATAACATTAGCTGATTGTAGGAAAGTGTTTGGTAAATTAACTCTTAGCTGTTTTGTATAATTTCTTTTCTCAAAAAGCTGCTTTGAGCAGCTTTTTGAATTTTAGCATTTTGGAGTTTACCAAATAGGGGTGATTGGTTGCAACAAGTTGTGATAAGTAGCAAGAAAACACATGAAAGGTAACACAATTGTAAATTATTACCTCAGCCATTATTGAATTGCCTTTGTATATGGTGCAGGATCTCATGAAGGGGCAGCCTTTCATCTTGATATCAGCCTTTGTGCCTTCACTGTTATCACCAGCAAGAATTATCTCAAAATCTTTCTCCATAAATGTATTCAAAACCCTATTCACTTTGAACATTAATTCCTTGTCTTCCCTACTGTCTCCCTTAAATCCTTTCCATGATCCTTTCTACAACAATCACAGAACATATATAAGTAAATAGAACTTATTACGTGCGATAAGAAAGATGATAACTTTTTTTCTTTTTGCGTATAAATTACTCTAATCAATAATGCTAAGAGAGATTCGTGGCAAAAGAATAAACTCGAAAGGGGAAATTTTATACTCGTAACGGGACGGTAGAAAGACTCACAATTACTCGAACCATGGTAACGAGGGTAGTACCGGCGGCGTCGAGGAGCAGTTTCCGGCGATGGGGAGGAGACGGAGAATCGGTTGATCGACTTTCGACTTCGAAGATGAGATTGCGAGAAGAATCAGTGAATTGCAGTCTGCCGTCGCCGCCAAACGCCTTGTGGTTCTTCGACAAGAAGAGATCAAATGGGATTTCCGCATTTTCCGGCACCGGCGGATATTCATCCTCTAATTTCTCCGCACCTTCCATCGCTAAAGAATTGGATGCTCGTCCGGTATGACAAAGCAAAATGTTAAGACACCTCACCCCAAATAAATAAATAAATAAATAAATAAATAAATAAATAAATATATATATATATATATATATATATATATATATATATATATATATATATATATATATATATATATATATATATATATATATATGTATATATATTTAGGTTCTCGTGCGGGTGAGGGCTTCAGGTGCGGTTGTGCGGTTTAATCTGAGCCATTCATCTCGCTTTAATCAACGTCCAGGATTATCAAAGTTTTAAAAAAAATGCGGTGGCAATTTTGTAATTTTTGCATCTAGGTCAAAATTAGGGTGAGCGGATCTGTGATTAATGTGCGTGAGTTTTGTGCGTGTGTTTTGTGCTTAACGTGCGTGAGGTTTGTGCTTAATGGGCTTGGGGATGTGCTTAATGTGAATAGTTGTTAAAACTTAAAGTCTGTGAGTGAATACTTAAAGTGCGTGGGTTTTGTGCTTAATGTGCGTAATGTTTGTGCTTAATGTGCGTGAGTTTTGTACTTAATGTGCGTGAGTTTTGTACTTAATGTCAGTAGTTGTTGAAACTTAAAGTCTGTGAGTTAATATTTAAAGTGCGTGGATTTTGTGCTTAATGTGCGTGAGGTTGTGTTTAATGTGTGTTGGTTTTGTACTTAAAGTGCGTGCGTTTGTGATTAAGATCTAACACTTAAGGTGCACTTTAGCTTATACTTTTTTGTTCCAGGCACGCGTTTTTTTTTTTTAAAAAATTTCATTGATTTGAGCCGTTGATCTAAATTTGATCAACTGCTCAGATTTAACCGCACAACTGCACGGGAAGCTATACCCGCACCTGAACCCTTCATATATATATATATATATATATATATATATATATATATATATATATATATATATATATATATAGAATAAAGTTCAAATGCGGCGGGGTCTTCCCGTGCGGCGGTGCGGCGGAATTCCAGAATACACCAACAGTGTTAACAATATGCACCAACAGTGTAACAAAAACACACCACAATGAAATGCAATTAAACATCACAAAATACACAACAGACTCAAAAAAATACACCATATAACTCACCACCCCCAATGGTGTATTCCTGAACAGTGTATGATGTTTTTACTCACACCTAATGGTGTGTGTTTGGTGATGTAGGGCTCTGTTTACTCTGTTTTTTGTGGTGTATTTTCCTAACGTTGATGGTGCATATTTGTTGAACTATTAGTGTTGCCGCACCGTAAGAAATCGCCGCACCGTAAGACACTGCCGCACCTGAACTCGCCTATATATGTGTATATATATATATATATATATATATATATATATATATATATAATTGTTATAACTGATTTTTAATATTATTGCATTTGTAAAAATAAATTGCGATGCACGGAGAGGTCGTATTATAATGGACATTGCACAACGAAACACAATAATAATTTACGTCCAACCAATACGACATTGTCCAAATTTTATTCCAGATTTTGATGAGATTGTTGAACCACAACAAATAAACATTGACTCAAATAATGGTAAGCTTAAATATTACATATAAAAAATAAGATTATTATATTTTAAAAATAAGTAATAATTTCTTATTTTTCATTTTAGTCGATTACTTAGACTTTGATGATCCAACCTATGTTTGCCAGCACTATGACTTAATTTTTGGTACAACGAAAGGTCAAGCAATTCAAAATCAAATACTTCCCCAAAGTATACGAGCTGCTGTGTAAATGGAAATATAAAGTTATCGTTAATGATAAAGCCTCCAACAAAGTTGTATGATTTATTTTTGAGATAAGGGTCAAAATAGACCCTTGAACTAATGATGAAAGTGCAACCAAGTGGCTTGTAGTCCACTGTATTGAGTTGCTCCCTTAGGTGGGAGGTGATGGGTTCGAACCTCAGTTGAGGCAAGTAGTGTGTATATGTAGGGTATCCCCTTCACTATAATAATAATAATAAAAAATGATGACCCAAAATGTGTTGCCATATTGAAATCATTGTTAGAAGTACAGGGCGTGCTATTCTAGCACCTACTATCGAATGTCCTGAACTCAATATTTCCTATGTTTGCAAATGGTAATTTTAATGCAAGTTATCTTCAAGGGCGTGCTATTCTAGCACCTACTATCAATGTCCTGAATTCAACATTTCCTATGTTTGCAAATGGTAATTCTAATGCAAGTTATCTTCAAGGGCGTGTTATTCTAGCACCTACTATCGATGTAGTGAACTCAGTGAATGAGTATATGAGTGAGTTGCATATGTTTGCAAATGGTAATTCTAATGCAAGTTATCTTCAAGGGCGTGCTATTCTAGCACCTACTATCGATGTAGTGAACTCAGGAGTACATTTCCTATGTTTGCAAATGGTAATTCTAATGCAAGTTATCTTCAAGGGCGTGCTATTCTAGCACCTACTATCGATGTAGTGAACTCAGTGAATGAGTATATGAGGAGTTGCATACCGCTGAGAGTAGAACACATTTTAGTTGCGACACAGTATGCAAAGCTGATGCAGACGTTGGAATACTTGGTGATGTTCACACACCTAAATTTTTGAACGGCATTAGAGGTTCATATGTTCCAATTTAAACCATGCAATAACTCTAAAAATTGGATCATCAGTCATGTTGTTAAGAAATATTGATCACTTAGTTGGTTTGTGTAATGGTACGCGATTGGTAATCACAACATTAGCAGACCCCGTAATTGAAGCTGAATTAATAGATGGTGCTAAC